ATTTTATTTTTCTTTAAAATAAAAATATTATGGAGAATCCAACATCTATAGGCTAACGGTAGATAAAACTAATAGCTACTAACTAGGATGAATATACAATATCTTTCATCGTTATCTTTGTTCTATAATATTAAATTTATATAAGCGAGTTTCTTTTATCGGTTGATCAACTTGATTAAGTGCTCAGTGTTTGTGCGTACTGCAATTTGCAATGTGTTCGTATTAGTCTCGTGTTTACTTAAATTAATTATTTTGTACATTATGGCAAAATTTATTGAAAGTAATAGAGGTAAACGTATGTTAGTGTTTGATAATTATAAATTTTCGTTTGCAAATACGAAACTAGACAGAACAACGCGGTGGAAATGTGTGATTCGATCATGCAGTGTTAAATTATACACTAATGAAAATGACGAGATTTTAAAAAATGTACATGATAGTAATATTAATCATAATCATAATCCATATGAAACGAAAATTATTGATCGTCAAATTATTAACACAAGTTGTAAACGGAAGGCAACAGAAGACATATTTGTTCGTCCAAAAAAAATTATTTTTAAAGAAATTCAACAGAATAATTGTTCTGAATTTAATGAAACAGACATAAAGTGTTTACGAAAAAATTTATACGAACATCGTCGGAAAACGCTCCCCGTAAATCCTACTACTATTCAAGAAGTACACGAAGCTTTGGACAATTTAGACGTAAAAACTATGAACGGTGAGTCATTTTTGATATTAAACGATTCTGAAAAACATATAATTATATTTTCATGTCAAACAAATTTGACATTTATAAATGAAGTGGATACCATTTATATGGATGGAACTTTTAAATATTGTCCACGATTTTTCTTACAAATGTTCACTATCCATGGATTGAAGAATGGCCATTATATTCCTCTTATTTTTTGTTTACTGCCAGACAAGTCATTTGAAACATACTTATTTACGCTGCGTTATATTGTTAATAAATGTAATTTATTATTTTCTCCAAAGTTTGTGACAGTTGATTTTGAAATATCAATACATAAAGCTATCGTAGAAATATGGCCAGACTCGAAAATTATTGGCTGTAGATTTCATCTAACCCAATCTTGGTTTCGTCAAGTCCAAAGCTTAGGATTGGTTGGTGAATATAAAAACGATCTTTCAGAAATCGGAAATTTTATAAAATATACGTTTGGACTGTTATTTTTGAATTCAGGAGATGTAGAAGATTGTTTTGTCGACGATTTAATGGCAATATGTCCTGATGATGATAAATTAAAATCATACTGTGATTATTTAACAGACACTTATATTAGCGAAGAAAGCATATTTCCTCCTACTATTTGGGCATCAGGCTCTTCGGACTTGACTAGAACTACAAATGCATGCGAGTCTTTTCATTCATATTTTAACCAGTGTTTTTACAAAGACTCCCCTCCCATTATGTATTGGTTAAATATAATACACGAAACTTGATTATTAGGTTTTTACCTACCTACTTCAAATATTATTATAATTATTCTTTGTTACAATAGATGAACCTACAACTTTAAGTAGTACAAAAAGAATCACTAAAAATAACGGAATTAATAAAGAAGATATGTTTAAATTAATCAGCATTATAGAGACTTGTAAACCACTTTGGGACCATAGGTTACCACTAGGTGATCGATCAGAAAATATTAAAAATAATATGTGGAATGAAGTTTTTGTCCAATTTAATGGTAAAATAGTTGAAAAACTGTTAACTCATTACAAATACCTAACGTATTTTGTTTATAATTACATAATAAAAATTTTAACTACCCTCCTTATATGTATACTAGGTTTATATACTCTAGAATGCTTAAAAAGTACCTGGAAGTATATTAGAGAAAGGTACACAAGAGAAAAAAAACCAAGTGCAAGTGGTAGTTCAGGTGGTACCAAAAAGGTTTGGGAACATTTTCTGAGTTTACTTTTTTTGGATGACGTATTATTGGTACAAAAGCGGTAAATATATTATATTTAATTAAGACAGTAATCATACTTAAGTAATAGAATACAAGTGGTAAAATTTAATAATACTTATAGTTCAATATTAAACATAAATCATGGAGTACCACAAGGTACAGTCCTGGGACCTATATTTTTTGTTTTATATATTAATAGTTTATAAGTTTATTGAATCTGAATATTGACGCAAAAACATTTTGTTTTGCTGATGAAACTATAATATTTATCCAAGGAGAAATCCTAACAAGTTTATATAAAGCTAATCTAGTTTTTAAAAAGATTAAACTGTGGTTTGATAATAATTTCCTAGAACTTAATCTTGAAAAAACTAAACACACTATTTTTAGTATTCAAAAAGAAATTATAAATAATAATTTTAAATTTTTAACTTTTTTATTCTCTCATAGCACAATAGATAACCTTACTCAAGAATCAACAAGTTCAAATGAACTAAATGAATCAACTCCGTCATCAAAACGTTCTAAAAGTAATTTGTTTTAATTTAAAATATATTGTAGCCTGTAGGTAATAATTTGTAAAATTCTAATTTTAACAGGACCTACAATTGAACATTATATGGGTTCGTTGATTGATGAACTTAAACATAGCAGACCTATGACTCCAACTGAACCTGTCTTACTGGCACCTGAACCACCAAATGAAGATCATACATTTAGCTTGTATTTAACAAATATTATGTCGGAGATTCCAAAACAATCTAAAATAAAGTTGCAAGGAAAACTTATAGCTTTAGTTATAGAAGTGCTAAGTAAATAAACCATATTATTATATGTATAATAATATTATTATAATATTATTTAGATATATCCAAAGAAAGAAACTTATGGACTTAACATGTGCAATAAAAAGGCTGTTGTAATTTTTTTTAATTTTGTATTTTAATTATAAGTTCTTATAATCTTGTTATTTTATAAAAAATAAATATTCTTAACTATTTAAAATAAAACTTAAACATTCAAGTATTGAAATGGCACAGAACCTTCCTTTGAAAAATAATCTGTTAACTGTAACCGTACTTCTTTAGCATCTCTATCGTAAAAGTTGGATCCCAACCGTCCAACAGGAACTAAACAAGATTCAAAACCATTATTTGCTTGGTTTTTGTTGATATAACTTTCAATATTCGGTTGTACATAATATGAATGTAGACCTGCAAAATATGTATATTTAATATGAAAGTTGAATCATTTTAAATATGGTACATAATATATTGATACATTTTTTATTTATATTGATAATATTATATTATTTTCATTTTTAATGGTTAATTACAACTTATTATACTATAGTATTTGTCATTTGAAAATTAATAAGTTTAATTAATACATTGTAATGGTAATAAGAATATGAGTATATGAGTATATTCATTGAAAATTAAACACAGATAAAAAGTATCTATTTCATATTTTTCAAAAACAGTTAATTTATCATGTATATATTCAAAAACTATTTGTCTAGCTGCTACAATATGTTTGTCTAATTTTTTTTTTCTTTTATATTCTTAATGAACATGTTATATCTAACCTGACTCAGTTTCTTTATTTTTAACAAAATTATGCAGCACTACAGTGGCTTTTATTATACTGTTTATAGTTTTCTCACTAGCAATTATCACTCTCTTATAAATTCTCCACCTTGCGACTAAAATACCAAAAGCATTTTCAATGCATCGACGTGCCCTGCTCAATCTGAAATAATATAATTTTATAAATAATAAATATATGAAATTAAACGTTTTCCCTTCAATGACACCATCTATGTTTAGACATTACCTATAGTTAAAAATTGCCTCTTTAATAGGTAATTTTTATTTGCCTCTGCCTGGATATGGTCTCATAATAGATGTTTGAAGAGGAAATTCTTCATCAGCCACAATGTAGTAGGGTATATTTGTAAAATTCTCACTAATGGCAGAAGATATGGGAAAGTTGAATTTATTTTTTAAAATTCTTTTGCCCATTTCACTATTTTTAAATACACCGCCATCACTACATCTACCTGGCATTCCAATATTTACACAAGTAAAATTATAGTTAGCATCACATAGTGCCATAAGAATGGTGCTGTGGCTCCCTTTGTAATTGAAATTTATGGAACCACTACTTGCAAATGCCTAAAATACATTGCATAATATTTAAATTAAAATAAATATTGTTAAAATAGATTATTTAAGTCTTCATATAATCTCATACTTGATGTACAACATGCTTTCCATCTAAAGCTCCAACACAATGTGGCATTTGCCATTTAGATTCAAACTCTTGAGATATTTTTAACCAGCCATCTACACTTGGATTAAATAATACCTAAAATAAATATTCAATAAATCTTATTATAAGTAAATATACAAATTAACAATAAATAAAATGGTAATTTATACGTACATCATCTTTTAATTTATCCCATATAATATTACAACAATCAAATATTAGTTTAGAAACTGTTGATTTGCCGATACGGAAATTAAACATAATGTCGACCATACTTTCACCTGTGGCTAAATACCTTTATAAATAAAAATATAAGTAACATTTTAAAACTTTTTTACATAATTTATTTATTAAATCTCAATAATATACTATTATAAAAATGAACCTTAATGTGGCTCCTACAATTTCTCCAACACATAAAACATCAGGCCTTGAAGGTGAACGTTGAAGATCAGGACCAACTATAATCAAAAGCTCTTCAAAAGCTGAGGCTGACATTCTCGTAAAATTAAAAAATAAATACGAGTTTGAAAGCTGGTGTTCTTTTAACATAGTATTAAAATGACTAAGATTAGAACGTTCATTTAGCATTGGCCGTACATGCCACCTATAATACATACAAATGTTAATTAATCAATATTACTGTTTTGTTAAGTTATTTTATTAGGTATTAGTTTATTTATATAAATTTACATTTGTAATGGCAAATGGTGGCATAAATTGGTCTTTGCCAAATGCCAATATAGCACTGTAAGTTGTCACCACCAGAAAATTTTAAAAATTAATAGTAAAGTATTAAATATTTGTTTAGTAGGTCTAAAATTGTAATTTGTAATGATAAGGGCAGGGTGCACTTATAATAGAGTATGGACTAAATGGTGGAAATAATTCATACTTCAGATCAAATTTACTCTACTGACGACAGTAACACGTATTGACTTATTTAAAACTCTTATTATAATATATTATAACAACTTACTTTCTCTCAGATTTTAAATGATTTTCTAAAAGATAACCGACACAGGAAATAATACAAATTCGTCGTTTAAACATTTGATTGTTATACTCTTTCACATCATTTAAGTACAATTTTCTTTTGAGTTGTTGATTCATTTTGTAGTTTGAAACTTTGAAACTATATTATGCGATGGAAAACGTGTGTATTTCATTAAATATTATATATTATAATTATATATTATATATTAATCATTATATATTTCATATTTGTAATCTGTTAAAAAAAACCGCGAAGATTACTAACCAATCTTTGATATCAATACTCAAAATTTATGGTAAAGAGTGGTATCATGTTTAGAAAAAATGGAAAAGTTCACGACACGACACGACACGGTGTAGTGTGAACCCAGCTTAACATTTTTTTGGTATACTCGGTTGCAATTCGGTTATCACGTGATAACAAAAAAGTAACGTCCTATCACAATGAGATTTGATCGAAACGACACGATACAGTAATACACGTCGCTGAGAAAGTGAGAAATGAGAATGCGCCGATCTCCGGTTTAGCATATTTAAGGATTTTACATTTACATGACAAAACATTAAAACAAGATATGCCATGTCATGGTATTTTACAGTATTTGTTAGGAGCTGATGCTTGCTGCGTATTAGCAACATGCTATGCATCTATAATAGTATTGTTTGTATTCTTTAAAAGTTTTTTTAGTCTTAGGTGTGATTAGTTTTACTCCTTTACAGTAAGTGTAATTTAATTGTTAATAACAACTCAATTAACATGGCTAATGAAGTATACATTGTATCTGCTGTTCGTACACCGATAGGTAAGCATTACAAATATATTAAGTGAGTTATTAGATGTAGAAATATTATTTTGGCGAGGATGCAGTTTAACGCTTAATCTATTTTTTGGAATCGAGAACCCATGTATTTTAAGGAGTTGAGAACAATGGTACAACCAGAATTTATTGGTTGGATTTAGTTTAAATGTTAGGTTTATGAATTTTACGTACTTTCACTCGTCCCTGTTTTCTTGTAAAAATTATTTTGTTAACAATAACAAAAAATAACTACAATAGGTAATTTCTAATACAAAATGTAAAGCATGAAAAAATAAAAATTTTGATTCCTAAAACTTGCTTGGTAGCTAAACTGTATTTTTTCCACTAAATTACCCACATACTAAAGTATTCACATTCCTAATTATGTAATTTTTAACTTGTTATTGGTATCGTATTGAGCGCAGTTGCACAGAACTCATTTTGTTACTAATTGGATAACCTCCCTCTGTTATATTTTGTCTTCTTTCTAATCTTCTATTATACTTATTATACTAAATATTGTATTGAGTGAATAAGTCAAATAAAAAAAATTAAAAAATTGATAACCAATTGATTAAGTTCTACTTGATACTTCTGATACTAATTCCTTCAATCGACATGTTTCCAAATATACTTTCATAATATACACCCACCCTATAGTATAGAACATTTGGGCCTAGATGAGAATACTTTTATATCATAATACATTGTATATATTTATGAAACAATATTATGTTTTAAGTAAAATTTCACTCAGTATCAATAGTGGAACAATTGTGTTATGTAGCCCAGCTTTGGTAGATGAATAAAAAATTTGATGTTCCCATATTATTTATGTATAATTTTATTTAAGGTTATAGAAAATAATAATCCTTGTAAAATTAATTTTATTTTTACACACATCACAAGTTTATGATTTTACATATTTTTATTATTTAAAGCTTGTTTATTGATTACTTTATAACTAGTTTTTTATTTAATTAGAAAAATGTGCAATCCGAGTTCATATGTCATTGAATAAGAATAAAAAATAATATGTAATAAATCTGTTACGAGGTTTTACACTATTATTTATTGTGAACATACTGTACATGATATTTCTATTTTTTAGTGCTATTATAGTTCTAGAAACAATCTAAAATACCTACCTAAGGAAAAACATTATATTTATGGCCTTATAACACAATTGTGTTAAAAATAGTGCATTATCTACATTTTTATAAAAAATAAATGATATAATATAAGTTATTTAGGTACCTAAGTATCCAATTTAAATAAATTATTATTTATACAAGTTAAATTACAGAATAAGATATGTAATATAACTTTAAGCAGTTTATTTAAACCTTAATACATAACCTGCAATTTTAAAAATATTCAAATTAAGTTTTATAATAATTTAACTACTTAGGTACCTATAGTTATTAATATTCTTCTCACCAAGAGTACAGCATATTTCAATGAACTCTTCTAATATTTCACTTATTATATAACAAGAAACATTTATTATATTATTGATAAAATATTTTATTTTCATCAAATTATATGACAGCATATACTGCATATGTGCTATTAAATTGTACTTGGTGTGATAAAGTGGCATACAATGAATATATACCTACTAATGTTACATATATTTTTATTTAAACTAAAATATAATAATAATAGTAAAAACAGTAGTTGGTCACACCTAAGCCAATAATTAGTCGCAGCATTTTAATCTTAAATATTATGGACAATTTTTAAATTGCACCGGACGTCAAAATACTTAAGGTTGGCTTTGTACTCACAAACATTTTTATGGATGTGCCACGTGTTATGACTATGATGTATATGTATAATTTATTTATAATTTATACTTTATTGAATTTATTATTTGTTTGATTTGATGATCAATCTTTGACTACAATAAACATTTAGTTTCCAATTGATTAAAGTTAAGGTTGTATACGGCTATGTATTTACAATAGGCTTGTTTGGCGGTTCATTGTCGTCTCTGAAAGCTCATCAATTAGGCAGTATAGTGATTTCAGAAGTACTTAAAAGAGTCAATGTCAAAACAAATGATGTATCGGAAGTTATTCTTGGACAGGTAAACAAGATATATAACATGTCATATAGTAATAAATGTGTGTATAAACAATAATATATAACATGTATGAACATTTGTCAGGCTCTTACAGCTGGACAAGGTCAAAATCCAGCTAGACAAGCTTCGATAAATGCTGGAATTCCATTCACTGTACCTGCTCATGTCATCAACATGCTCTGTGGATCTGGGCTGAAGTGAGTTGACATCAAAATTTTATATGAACATTATTTATAAATTACTTACTTACACAAAACACTAAACAGTAAGTTTTATAGGATACAAATTATTTTAATGTTTTGAAATATGATTGGTGATTGATCCCTAGGGCTGTGGTTCTTGGATACCAGGCAATCAAATGTGGAGATTCTTCAATTGTCATTGCAGGTGGCCAAGAAAGCATGAGCAACGCTCCTCATGTCGTCAATATACGATCAGGGATTAAAATGGGTAACACAGAATTGACAGATACAATGCTATGTGATGGACTCACTGATGCATTTGACAACATACATATGGGCATGACTGGTAAGAAAACAAAAAATTAACCTAAACTTATAAATAGGTATTATATTTAAATTAGTTAAATTATTTTAATACATAATATTTCATTTTAGATTTTTGGTAAAAATAAATCAGCTTTTTTGATGTTTTAATTTTAAAACAAGGTATAATGATTATTTGGTATATACTTATACTTAGTGTTGTTATCTTATTAGTTTATTTAATAACTACAATTTTATTTTAAAATAAAAATATTGAAAAACCTGCCTATATATACTTTCGTTATATAGGCTGGCAAACCGTCTACACTCAGAATGAAGTGTAGAATTTTTGTGTACAATGTTTTATAATATTAAGAGGACGTTGCACTTGCATGTGTTGTCTCTGTCTTACACAAATACGACATAGCACATTTTATCTGTGCTCTCTCTTTGGTTTTTTACTTTTTAATTTTTAAGTGAGCTATGAGTATGAATAAAGTATAAATATTTGAATATGCTCATAATTCACTTAAAAATTTAAATTTTTTAATAGTAGGTCAATTCACTCTAGTATCAAAACTAACAGCACACTATTGAAATTTGTGAACGAAAATTTGCCATGTCGTATGTGTGGAAGACGGAGACAACTCTGGTACAACATCCTCTTAAATTCAAATTTAATTCATCCATTTCAATGACCCACAATGACACCTAATGTACATCAGAGCGGTACCCACTTGCCTACTTTTTTTTGTATTGTCCATTATGCGTACACTTTAAATCTTGTTTTAGTATCCTTTTTAAAATAGAAAATAAATAATTTTAATATTTATAAGAATTTTATTTACAGTTAATAATTAATTAAATACTGTTATATTTTGTTTTCAGCTGAAAATATTGCTGAAAATTATGATATTTCGAGGAAACTTCAAGATAATTATGCTTTTGAGTCTCAGAAACGAACCAAAGAAGCTCAAAATAATGGTTACTTCAAAGATGAAATAACACCAGTTGAGGTGAAAATACGGCGGAATACTATCATATTTGACAAAGATGAATATCCAAAAAATGATACTTCTCTAGATTCATTAGCTACATTGAGGCCTGTTTTTAAATTGGTAATATAAATAAAGAATTGGTAATTTATTTTAGAAATAATTTGAATGTCTGGTTATACTTAGAATGGTGGTGTAGTTACGGCTGGAAATGCATCAGGAATAAACGATGGTGCTGCAGTAGTACTTCTGATGAACGGAGAGGAATGCAAAAAACGAGGTTGTACTCCATTGGCTAAAATTGTGGCTCATGCTGAGTGCGGGGTTGATCCAAAAATTATGGGCACTGGACCAATACCTGCTGTGCTGAAGACGGTAAGTATAAACAATGTCTAATTAGTGCCAAAAGTAATTTTAATACAATATAATGTATCTGCTACATTTTATTAAGAGGATGCTACCCACACGTTTGCTGTCTCCATCTTACCAACTTACAACATAGCAATTGTTGGTAACTAGTTTGAATAGTGTGCCGTTAGTTTTGACATTAGAGTGAATTTAAGTATTATCAAACTTTTAGGTAAGAACATTATCTATGTTTAAGCATCGGTGGATTGACGATATTCTCATTTTCAAGCAAGATATGAGTAAGTGAATTAACAAATCAAAAATGCTCATATCTTGCTTGAAAATTAAAATATCCAAAAATCCACAGACTCTAAAGCATAGATAATATTTTAACCTAAAACTTTGATATTAGGTCAATTCATTCTAATGTCAAAACTAACAGCATACTATTGAAACTAGTGAACGAAAATGTTCTATGTCATAGATGTGTAAGACAGAAACAACAAATGCATGGGTAGCGTCCTCTTAAGTATACAAATAGTTCTGTGCATGATCAACGAAATTCACAGTGAGAATTTAACCGAAAATGTTTAACATTCTTAGATTGAAAAAGCTGGTTGGACTATGGCTAGTGTTGATATTTTTGAACTAAATGAAGCATTTGCTGCACAATCAATAGCTGTAGTGCGTGAATTAGGATTAAATTCAGATAGAGTGAATATCAATGGAGGTGCTATTGCATTGGGTCATCCCATTGGAGCGTCGGGTATAATTTGTTTTTTTAATTATCTGATAAATGCTTAAATTATAACTATACTGTTCAACACAGAGTATGTCCAATACCAAAGAAAAGTAATTATAGAAGATACTATTTTTGAGGATTTTACATTTTATTATTATTTGTCTTTATACTTCTCTCAAAAAATAAAATAAAATTATAAATTTTAATGGACATTAAATTACTTTGGAACAATATTTAAACAAATATTAATCTGTGATATTTCTAAAATATTATTCTCTATAATTTTTGTAATGTGTGATTTTACTCTTAAGATAACTCAAAAATTAGTTGTACATGACTGCATTTTATCTATGTAGTGCGTAGGACCGACAGAGAAAACAAATACACATTGTACTAACATCCTTTCAAAAAACTGGCTGATGTCAAAGTGAAATGATTATGTATCATAATATTCAATTGGCCTTTCAGTGATTTCTGCTTAATAGTTCAAAACAGCAGTTTCGTTTTTACCGATATTTTTACAAAAAAAAAAAAATGTTTTTGTAATTATAATATTTATTACCATTTATATTGTTAATTATCACTATTATGCATATATTTTTATTATCGATTTACATTTAAATCTTTAGAAAATTGAATAAATAATGGCTTGTTTGTTTTACTGCATAAATAAATAAAAAAATATGTAATAACTTTTACGATTTAGAGGAATTATTTAATCAAATTAAGATAATAATATGAACTGTACTATTTATATTTTATAAAAAATTGCTTTTAAACAATTCAATTATTGATTCATTTAATTTAGGTGCTCGAGTATTGGTAACGCTGGTGCACATCTTGTCGAGAACCGGCAAAAAAAGAGGCATAGCATCATTGTGTATTGGTGGAGGTATGGGTATTGCTATGGCCATCGAGACATTTTAATCATTGAATACTTATTATTCAATTTACAAGAGGACATCAAATTGGTTAATAGCTCTATGATCAAAGTTCAGAATTGTTATTAATTGCTGATATTTTTTGCAGGTTGATTTGCTGATGAAATATAAATAAATTAAATGATTATTTTAGTAATTATTGATAATTTTAGTTTTATACCTTCATATTTAATTATATTTAACTGCACAATTTTCTATTTAATATTACATTATATAGAGGCATAGAAAAAAATATGAATCTATTCATATCAATATTTTAATTATGTAAGACAAATGTATCATGATTATTTAACTGATTTTTAACTCGAAGTGGTCTAACCTTTTGTAGTTTGAGGGTCAATTTACACAGGAGGATTAGACTCCTGAGAAAGAAAAAAAATATTTTAAGTTTTGCATAGTGTAAGATGAGTATCTCCCTCCAGTTTATTTACCATACAATTTGTACATGTTCTGTAATGTCCATTTACATGATATTCTTTTGGATATAATTTTTAAGCAAATTAGACACAAAGGTTTATTGTTATATAAGTACATCTGTTCCCATTCAGAATTGAATTTGCAGTTTTTTCCTTCGGGCATGTTAAAATTAAACCACAATCAACGTATTTACGAATTACTAATGATATACATGTATTATCTAAGATATAACAGATACACACTGAACTGATAAATGATTATTTTTATCATAAGTTGGCGATAGGACAGACTGCCGCAGCACCATCTCCAACTGCCTTAGTTCTTTTTTTAATTCATCACACTCATACAAACACTAAAATCATTAATTGTATGTACTACATATGTCTATTAAATAGAGCCAAATAAAGGTATTGAGAGTTGCCGGTTGGACTACCTTGTATTAACTAATCAATTTTTAATAATGCCTATTGCTTTTCTTAATTGTATTTCAAATAAATGTTTACATCATTTATATTTAACATGGACTTTTATTTTAAACTCTGTACGCATGGGCCCTTACACAAACATGTAAGTGGAGCCCAAAAGAATCAAAAAAAAGGGTTGGGGGATAAAAAAAAAATGGAAATACGTGGCAATGTTTTAAATAATATTAAATTCTCAAAATAAATTGCATGCACTACCATACATGATTAGGTTGATTGTTAAAAGAGGGTGGATTTTTAGGTTTTTAAGTATATTTTTTTGCTTTAAACAGTTCAACAGGAGTAAATAATCTGGACATTATAGAATTTAAAAAAAAAAATGTATTTTGCATAATATTATTGCATATTTTAAAGATTTAAGAATTTTCACTATTTAGCTTATACTTCATACTTAAGAAAATATTGTATTATTTGTTCATAAAAAAGTCATATGTATTCATTCATTTCTCAAGTTGAAATAAAAAAAAAAATGAAAAATGATAGGTATCGTTCTATAATTTGTTTGTTTGTAATTGAATTGAATTTTTTCAAATTTGTTTGATTGTTGTAAGTGTGAATGAATTTAAATAATTTACCAAAGAAATGGTATGCAATAATTGTTTATTGAGTTTAAGCATATTATTATAATGCATACAATAAATGGATGGTGAATGTAAATATAAATATTTATGAGAACTTTTACATTATATTTTACACAATAATTTTCTATTGTAACTGGTACACAGATTTTCCAACTATTTAAAGTAAAAAAAAGTATATTTTACCAGTGTTTAAAGATTATTAAGAAAATATTGTAAGATTTTTTTAGAGCATAATAGAATTGTATTTTTAACTTTGAAGAACCTAATAATCTGCTCTTTTGCATATGCATGCGCTGCATATGCTACCCCAAGACTTTCTTTGGAGCTACCACGGCAAATATTGAACAATGGGCCTCGGTAAAATTATATTTCCATAAATGATGATCATTGTAGATAAAAAAATTATAAAATTATACTTTTTTTGGTAAAGTATAAATAAATATTTTATGATTATAGAATTTACTAGGATAAAACTAATAGACCAGCAGTCCTCTATAAAAAAATAACCATGATTTTAAATCAAAAATGTTTATGTATATTATTAAAAGGCATTACTGTTTTACTTACAACTTTAAATATGTACCATATTTTTACCAATAATAATTATTATTTAAAAAAAATTAATGAACATCTCCAGTATTCTACTGACATATTCAGTGTAATTATTTTTAAAATATATAATTTATATTGTTATTAATGTTTGTTTATTTTGTTATATTATTATAAATAATAAATATTAACAATTAAATATAGGCTTGTGGAAAAGTGCTCTTTTAGTGGCTTACTATCTAACTGTACAAATTTTTAAACAAAAAACAAATAAACTATATACTTTTAATTTTGATACCCAATAGTAAAAAAAAGTAAAATTATGGGTCTGTTTGAATGGTGAATTTGAGCATGGACCGAATCAATCTCTTACTGCCCCTGAGGCTGAGCACGGCTATGCTCTATTGTTATGAAAACAATATTTTGAATTAACACCTTCCATGTAGGATCAGTAGATGTACGACACTGTGCAGTTGCCTTTAGCTGAAAGCCCAAAACAGAAGAACGACTCACTTAGCCTGGGCACCATGAACTCGTGTTGTGTGTACGTTAAACGAGTGTTGTTGACATGTGTCATGTATATTGGACCAAACGAGAGACTGAGTCGTTCTCGCAGCTCAACAAGTTGGCGAGCCTTCAATGAAGTCACTTGTGCAAATCAAATATTTACACAAAACAGATCTATTTTCTCATGATTTGTGAAATACAGTTTACGCAACTAAAAGTAGTAAAACTCAACGTGTAAAGTTAACCCACCTTTGGTTCGTACTTCGTCATGTATACCTATATGCCATAGGTCTATGGTGCATAGAGGCATAGAGTAAGAACACCTAGTAAGAACATTTTTAACTAGAGAATGCAAAGTTTGATAAGTGATAACTGAGCAATTCTGACTGTTTCAAACATTGACATTATAGTACGGCCAGCGAAAAGTGAGCCGTTACCTTTACGTAATAATATTACCTTTAATCGCATACAATTGTGGAAGCCCTGATGAAATTCAGCCACCCGGCGCACTGGTATCTCGGCTCACCTTTCGCTGGCCGTACTATAGTAGTTTGTACCACGATTTAAGATATACATATAATATATATATATATATATATCTTATTAAGATTATATATTATTTATTTTAAGATGTATATATCTTAAACCGTAGTTAGTACCATATTGTAGTCCTGGCCTTTTCCATAGTGTGTTCCGTTATAGAATCAAGATTTTCATGGAAGAACTTGGAGTGTATCGGAGCGTACTTCAGTTTTGAGGGTTCAAGAAGTTGCACGTGCCAACGCGCTCCGACACGAGGGGGTACGTAAAAGGCACGTAACTATTCCGTTAGGTTTTTTTTCTTCTTGAAAATCTTGTATGTCCTCGTACAATCGTGGTGTTCAGCACTGGATCTTAATATGCAATTGTAGTATTGTAATATTATGTAAGGTTCAGCTTGATGTTATCAGTTATCACGGTTGTTATTATTATTTATCAGTTCAAGTACAAATAGTACAATGTTTGTGTTTAATTATTTAATTATTATTAATTATTGTTAACCTCGGTCTAAAAAGTAAGAACTATGTTGATTATCAAAGTATTTTTCATTTTCGCTGTCGTATAATTTTATTCCTTATTCCGCCGAACTAATTGTTGTGGTTTGTTATTAGCAGCTGTTCTGTCGTTTAATAACTTTATAAATAATAATGTATATTTGTATAATAAATACTAATCTATGTTCGTTGTTGACGTTGTTGTTTATTAACTATTCTGCACTAAGATTTGAATAAGCAAACTTTTATTAATAATCGTTTGGATAATTTATTATTGTTATTATTTTTCAGTTGCATTTTGTTTAATTGTTTCAATAGTGAAGACCCGTTACAACATAAGCTGTTCACTAATACGCAGTATATGATGATAACCAATACTAAATAAATCCGACGAGGAGAACTGTTTGAGGTAAGAATATGCATTTGACGCTTCACGATCTTCAACTGCTATGTCGTCAATTTGTGTTTGAATATTTGTTGACTTTGATTTTGTCCACAGACACATGATCATACCATGACACTTGGTTGAGAAATTACACAGTCAGACATTGAATGAACCCAAATGGGAAAGTCTTGGCATTGAAATGGAGAGCGGCTGCCGGCTGGGTGAATTTCAATATAGTGATATATTTTTGATATTACCTAATCATATTTTCTAACAAAAGGTATTTATCATATTTATAAATAATACTTACAAAATATTTATCTACACAATTTTTGTATGTACCTAGAATATTTAGATTTCATAAAGTATTTTTTGTTTTTATACATTTGGTACTAACTCATTCAACACTTAGAGTGCCTTAGTGACAATCGTGACATTGCTCTCACAGCCACATCAACAAATTGTATAGGCATCTTTGCAGCTTTAAACTTTTCTTCCATTTTTAAATGTGGTTATTCCTTCAATTTTTTATTAATGTTGATCAGGAGTTTTTTGGAGGAAGTGACAAGTAATTGCGGTGACAATTGTACTCAGTTATACGGTTAACGCACATCAAATATTCTGGGGCACTCAACATGTTGAAACTAATTAATAGGTGAACTATATAGAACTGGTAACTAGGTATATAATACTAATTTATTCCCTTAAAAATAGATTTTAAACTGTGAATGCTACAGAATTTTTAAAAACAAATTAAATAATTTTAAATAATTATAAATGCTTTTTATGCATTTCAGAAGATTACAAATATAAATAATAAAATATACACACAAATACAAAAATACAGGTCTCTATCAAATATACAAGCCTTCTTAAAGGACCCACACTCCCCATGCCTGTTATAAATGTTATAAAGAAAAATTCACTGGCCTGACCTATCTTAACATTAAAATATTCCCACTTATTTTACATTTACATTAAATCATATTAGTGTCTACAATATACAGCAGGGTATTTGGACGTTTCTCCCCCGTAAATTTAAGTGCTACTGGTCGTTTCTCCCCGGACAGACATTTCCCACCTGAATCAATATACATGTTTTTAACACATAAAAATAAATTGGAAAATTAGGTTCTTTGGTTTTACCTGAAATATTCAATCATCATATAATGATGATAATTTAAATTTTTTAAAACTTCCATGACCTATATTACAAGAATAAAAATTATTATTTTGCCTTTTTCATTTGTATTATATAATTTTGTATTTTAATGTCAACAGTGTTAATATGACATTATTATTCTGTAAGATATCTTACCAGAATAAAATATATATAAATTACTGTTATTTTAACTAGTATTTGTTAATTATATCATAATTTATATTTTGTATTTGTGTAGCGTATAATATTTTTAATATTTATATTAGTGAATTTGTATTGGCATTTGGCAAATAGCTAAAGTGTTATTATGTCACATTATTGAATTCAATTTATATAGTAATTTAATGGAATTATATATATTGAGCAAATGTATGTGCATTGTATATTATTATTATTGTTTGATATTTTTAGTTTTTGTCCGGGGGGAATTTGTCCTGTTTGTTGGGGAAATGTCTATTGTATCGGTTGCGAAAAGGCACGGGAGGGAAAATGTCCCAGGTTCATACAATAGTTTCTTCCCATTATTTAAAAAAATTTTCGCCCATTTTTCAAGGCTATTTTTACATTAGAATGTCAATTTGTTACATAAAAAACTAACTTATTTTATTACTAAGTTTCTATCTTAGCTTCTTCTCATTGTTCACAATAACATAAGTAGGTAATATAATAGTACATAAGTATTGGTATCTCCCTGGTTTTTAGTTTTCTTGAATTTGATTAAGTAATTTTGTTTCTTATATAATAAATATGTTATCTTTTAAAATTTATGCTTGGTGCCTTTTTCGTATATTTATATGAATTATTGTTTGTTTTTATAGTGGTTAGTTTAATACTCATTGACTACACTAAAAATAGAAAATTAACTAGAATATTAAATTCGTCCCTTGTCTTTAAAAAGTTGTCGTGACTTGTGAATTTTGTTGAATGTGTTGAAAATATATTTTGTTCTTTTTTTTTGTTTGATAACATTGTTTTTAGTTAATCAAACATACATAATATTCTATGGATATATTTTTAATTTATTCTATTTTATTATTTTTACTTAAATTAAAATGGTATATTATATTATTACAGTAGTTTGGTAAATTTTTTTATTAAAAAAAACTGGTGACTTGACTAGTGGTTTTGCTGATTTGGAGCTAAATTATTATTAAACATTCACAATGAATGTATATATATTCTGTATTTCTGTGTGATGAAATTTTAATTGTGAACAGTTCAATATTGAAATTTCTAAAAAGAATCATCGATGTATACTGTAAATGATGTGTACATAACTATTTCTGGATCCTCGTATAATATAGCTCATGGGTATTCTAGTTTTTTTTTATTAATATTATCCGTTTATTTTATATAGTATTAATTGTTTATGGTGGTTGAAATATCAATTTCTCTGTTCATTTTGATTTCACACGTTTTTATGTTTGAGCACTCTCTGTCTAATGGGTCGTGCATGAATAAATAAACTTTTCATTAATATTGACATTGTATACGTTTTTCATATTAAGTTCATATGGAATCTTTATTATTGTACTTTAATTGTCTGTTATTTCATATTCATTAGTGGCAGTTTCATTATTTACATTTTTTTTTTTCAATTTGTGTTTATTATTTTGTATGTTTAATTTGTGAACAGTTATTGCCATTTGCCCATTTCATTTGGGATATTGCTTTATACGTTGGACAAATTTTATAAGGTGACTTTGTCTGCGTTGCTTACTGTCTGTATTTCTAGTGTGAAATGTCTATTGTTATGTTAACACATTCTATTAGATTTATTTTATACTGCTTTTGAAAATCCTGTTTTGAGTAGTAATATATACATTGGATTTAATTTTTACTTAATATTTATTGTTGTGGGTTATACTTGTAGTGCATTATATTGTGTACCTATTAGATTCTAAGTGATGAATGTATTGAATTTACAATAATGTGTGTTTTTTTTTATTTTAATTTTTGAGTCAGTCATCACGGCTAAGGCAAATATTGCTTAGATTTTCTTCAACAGCAACTTTTCTGGTAGGAAAGTGAATTTAGTTGGTGTCAATTCCAAAGATCAAAATTTAAATTTCCCATTAGTTTTCAAAAGCAACATGTTTTGGTTTTTAGCGGAACATTAAAAAAAAATGAGCAGATACATGACATTTTCACTGAATGTTTGTGTTGAACTATTTATAAGCATATAAAATGCTCGGTGTTATCAATTTTCGATAAAAAAATGTTCGCCCTGTCAAACAACTTGAAAATGTAATAGAAGGTTCCTCGTAACTCGTTGTTTGTGGAAATTAAAAAAAAATTGAGCGTAAATCCACAATTATTTTTATGAACATTTTAATTTAGAATTTTGACAAAATTAATATAAATCATGAAAATTAGCAAATTACTTTGAGTTAGGTATACATACAAATTTTTCTTTTCATATCTAAGATTTGAAAATTTTATACAAGATTCCTTAGAAGTGTGTCACCTTTATCAAAAAGAAAAGGTCTATCGAGAATTCAAATACAATTTTTATGAGCGTTTGAAGTTGAAATGTTTACAACATTGGATATTCATTCGATTTTCTTATTTTGTTGTATTTCAAAAACGAATAACTGTAGACGCTTAAAATTTATACCGTATTTTTATTTCATCAATTTATATACTTGATATAATTTTCAAAATATTTTGACATTCTGTTGACGGACATTTTCAATTTTCTCATTTTTTTTCTTTAAATGTCAATTAAATTGTATTGTTTGAGTCAAAAAGCATGAATATTTAATATAAGACTTGATATATTGTTACAATAGCAGTTGAAAAATATTAAAACTACATAGCCACGATTTTTTTTTAAAAGCATTTTAAGTTCAAATATTGACAACATTTTTCAATTTGTGTGGCTTAGGATTGAAAATTTAAAACAAGGTTCCACTTAAGCAGTTTCTTCAGTAACTGAAAAATCTACAAAATGTATAAATACAGACATTTTAAGTTCAAATTTGAACAAAATTACATATTAACACAAAGAATAACGACATTTGTCATTTTGTTGTAATTTGGTTCCAAAATAGCCAACTTTTACATAAGTTTATTTAATATTTTTCTAACATAACTGATAATTTAAGAATAATATTTTCGACTCACAGTCTATCGTATTATTAATATGTAATAACAATATAAAATATCCTAGATTGACATACAGTATCCGCTTAAAATCGTTTTTCATATACAATGGTATGATATTGAATTCAAATTTAATACCATTCAATAAAGCGATCTTCTAGACACTTTATGTATAGCAGAGCGACATCTACATACCCACTTTTTGAATTATTATTTTTATACCATACTTCATCCATTTGTATAGTGTTATTTTCAATTCGTATATATTTTTATTTTTAAAATTGATTATTAAGTTATATTTAATATTAAAATTGTTTCCTAATAATGATTATGTAGTCATTTTCGATTAAGTCATATTTTAGCTAGTATACCTAGATTTGATGTTGAAATGTATTACCTAATTTTAATTGTTTATTCTATCATTCCTATTTGTACTAGTTCATTATTATCGAAGCATGTTATTATCATTTGTTCTTTTGGCTTAAAAATTCCGAAATAAGAATCAAATAACCCTAAATCCTTACTTGAGTATATTAAATGTGTTTAATTATAATTAATTTTTTTTAAACTAAAATTACATATTACTTTTGTAAATCTCACAAAAAATTTAAATTAGAAAGAAGTTTTATTAAATGTATTGTAAGAAAAATGTATTAGGAGTGTTTTATTAGAAAATATTTAGTGCTAGATTGATTATACTATGTAAAAAAAAAATACCTGATTAAATAATTATTACTTCTACCAAAATTAAAGTATAAATTAATTAGCACTAAATATATTGGCTCATGTAAAATTTGTAAAATTAAGAATTCATGCGTTCAAAATATTACGCCAATATTTTCTTTAAATGTGTTTAACACCAAAATTATGGACCCGATTTCACAAAGTCTTCCGGCCATAAAAGTTCAATCTGACAAAAATACATCTAAAAAGCGATGTGTGTAAAACACACAAAATACTACCAGTAATTAAATCAATAAAAATACAAACGCAAATTAATATTAAAAAGAAATTTGGGTTGTGGATTACGAATGGCATTGGGCGCCTACGATAATACAATTTTTAAATCAGTAATGAGAATTTTTAATTTGTACTATATTATATTATATGCCAAACTTGCTAAGCAATCGAACTATAGTTAAAAAACTCATAAAAGTATACAAACACAGATAATGTTCTTACCATTAAATTTCATTACAGGTATTAGGTTCACTCTTAATTCTTAAACTAATAGTGCTAAACGTGATCTGTTGAATGTAAATTTGGTATGTTACTCGCTTGTTTATAATAATTGTATTAAAAAATGGTATTACAAACATGTACACATTGATATTTTGTTTAATAATTATATATTTTAATTTTCGAGTTGCTATATAAATATAAAATATTGTTATAATTATATATTTTATTGTATCTTATTATTTTGTTGCAGGGTATTCTATTCGTAAGAGGATGTTGGTCTTCCATTAAAAGAAAAAGAGATATGATAGATTATATCTCGATTAAATAACTTGATAATTCAGTACAGTTAATTTTAATATCCATGTACTAAAATAAATAAATAAATTTCTTTTCTACAAAATTGTTTCTTAATAAACCTATTAAGGTATTTATTTAAAACAATAATGATGAATGTATTTGTTTTGAGTGTTTCATTATCAAAAAGACTTGTCACATATTTATTATATTTATTTTTTCTGATAAAATTTATGTTTAAAATTTTTAATATTTTATTTTATTTTACATTAATTTTTATGTTATCATGACTGAACATTTAAAACTAATAAACTATTACTTCTGAATTCCTTAGGCGATTATAATTTTTTTTTATGCAAAACACTTCATATTATTGTTTATTTTTATAAAGTATGGTGTGCATATTATAAATAGTTCTACATTCTATATCAAACATATAACCACAATATAAGCATGGAAAAATTCACTTAAGTACACTTAATTCAAAATCCTTTACACGTGTCTAAACAACTGGAAGTGTTTAGGCCATAACTATCTGAAAGACTTGCATCTATTTATTATGATCATTGCATTTCAATAAAACTGAAAATTCTAAGTGGGATTACATTTTGATTATAGCTGCTTTGACTTTAAAAGAGTTCTTTGTTTTTTAAATGGCTCTTGAGTTATATTATAGTTTAGTTCATAATTATATTCATGAGGATTCAACTATAAAAATAATTTTAAATTACCTATTGAAATGTAATTTTTGAACACATAGGTACTCCAATAGCATACAACAAGTCGAACAAAAAAATATTAAAATAAACAAATTTGTAAATTACTGCAAACAAAATGGGTACCCAGGTGATTACAAATAACGTCGTGTTGTATGTTATACCAATCACATAAAAGATTGGTAGGTTCATCAAATAAAATATGTTTAAAATATGTTTAGTCTGAAAATCATGAAATTATGAATTTACGAAAAACAAAATAAAAGAATTGACACACAACAAAACATTTGGGGCAGCCCTTGTTACATCATTTATCTGGGTACACGTGTTGTAGAGAGAGTTCTTATATATGTTACAGCTAAAGTGTTGAATTCCGTTATTTTATGAAGTTCGCGAATTACCTACAAATGTTAGTTAAAGTATGAAATAATACATGAAAATTGTACTTTAACTAGTTATTTCATAGAATATCTAGTTATTCTATACAATTTCAGTTTAATATCCATTGAAGTATAAAATACATTAAAATTTAAAATATATATTAAAATGTTTTATTTTACTGAATTAATTATAGTTATATTATTTATTTATTTGTTTGTGTAAGGCTATTATGGCATTTAGAGTGAGTTGCACAATACCTCTTTTTTTGTACAAACACATCGCTTTGTGCCACATTTGTTGGTACAAATACACTTAAAAAAACCTTAACCAGTTCCCAGTAACTGTTCAGTTGCCGCAGATCTTAATGTACCTAATACTTTTATTTGGAACAGCTTCTACAGCTAACAAATTTTCTGAACATACTGTGAACTGGGATCGAAAATATAGTTGTAATAACACTCCTGTAATTATAATGTGTAGGTAGGTATGAAATAAATAAAAAATAAAAGGACGTCAACATTATCTAATTTAATATGTTATATTAAATGGTTGAAAATGTTAGAACTATATTTATTTATCACGATATTTTGTTATTTGCAAATTGTCACTATAAATTATATACATTACCTACAAGCTTTAGTTATTTTATAAATTACCTAGTTATTTCATAAACTAACTGATTCAACACTTTAACTGTAACATAATATATACTTATAACAAGCACCAGTTGTAGAACAGAAATTGGATGTTCAATCATTTCAAGTGGTGTAGTAAGTGTTAATTGACAGAATATTGTTAGTGTTTACAGACCGTCTTCGCCCAGAATTATGTTTTGTGTACAATGATTTTATATCATTGAATTCAAATTGAACACCATCCATTACAGTGACCCACTTGCATGGGCGGATAGGCCTACCGGGCAACCGGGCATTTCCCGGTGGGCCCCCCTTCGTATTTTGGGAATGGGGCCTTTTTTATGGTTAACGCAATGACACATTAATATTATATAATTACAAAAGAAATTTCAAATTTGAAAAATTTTATTATTTTATATTATAATCTTATATTTTTTAAGTTTTGAACTACAAATTATTAATTAACACTGTGGTTTTGTCAACATTTGAACTTTAAATGCTTATAAACAATAATCATTCCTATGTATCGTTAATATTTTAGCTATAATAAAAACTTATATAGTATATACCTATTACATTTTTATCTTTTTAACCG